CCCCCCCCCCCCCCCCACACCACCACATGTCACACTTGAGATTTGAATACATGTTCAAAAGGGTCTCTCTCCTTTCATGGGGGTTTATTTGTAATTTTAGAGATTAGTAATATCTACATCCTCCTCAAATTGTCTAACCTTGCCTGTAGATCGCTGTCTATTCCGCCATCATCATTCCCGGATGCCTCAGCTTGGGGAACCTTAGTCTTTGCTGCTGGTGCTGCCACAGCAGATGAAGGAGCATTGAGGAGCTGTAAAAAAAACCCCAAAAATGAAAAAGAAATACAATTACCATTTTAAGTTGATAAATAAGGTGGGTAAAGACTAGCAAAATCGTTTAAAACGGTGAAAAACAAAAATACCTCGGAATTCATATCAATTCCAATTTCATCGAGGACCTGGTTGACCAAGTCTTCAGTCTCTTCTTCTTCCTCATCTCCTTCCAAGGCATCATCTATGGCATCTCCCATCACTTCACTCGTCATTTCCATCGTCTCATTCTGCTTCTCAAACTCTTGCATTATCTTCTGCAGCGCAGGCAAGTTCATCTGTCTATTCATCCTCCCCATTGCCGTGGTCACTCCTTTCATTGCCTCCCCCATTGCTTGAGTTGATTTCAAAGTCTGATTATCACAATATAATAATAATAATAAAAACTTTTTATGTAACAAGAGAAGCATTTAAATTTCCAGAGTCCAGCTGAGAAAAAAACACTAATTCATCTTCCAAACAAGTTTTTGTGAACTCTTAGACTGTTACTTATGGCAGACTATTTCTGAGAAGTTAATTGGCATGAAATACCTTTCGTTTTATCGAACAAAAAAAACAAAAACAGAGTAGAAGGCATCTGCATGTACAGAGTATATATGCATTGAGTTGCATAGCAGGCATTAAGGGGGAAAAGGAAGGATTTAAATAAACAAATATAAGACGGGTAGATTCCTGCAGAATATGCGAATTTCTAGCATTCAAAATTGATTTTTTTGCTCCAACTTTTATTTTAAATGCTAGTTAAAGGAGGGAGAAAGGTCTACACTATTTTGATGTTTGTCGTAAAAACCATCTTCAAGATGCATCTACCATATACCCTTTGATCGGAAAATCACGCTCTGTTTGGAGTAGAGTAAAAATGACTTCCGGAAGTCATTCTCCCCATTTTATGGTGTTTGGTGAAAATGGAAAATCAAGGTCAATGGAAAATGGGCATGGGTCAAACAAAAAATCTGATCTAAAATACGGAAAATGACTCCCACCCTTGAAATTGAGAAGTCATTTCCCTGTTGTGTCTCTCTAGATGAACAGTTCTTTCTTCTTCCCTTCTCAAAACCATCGTCTTTCCCCTTCTTCTGCTGGTTCAAATCGTGCGCTGTTCACCACCTCACACCCCACCGCTTCCCTTCTCAAAACCCTCATCGCTTTTCACCACCACACACCCCACCGCTTCCCGTTTCTCTTCTTCCCCTCATCAATACTCATGGTTATGACCGAATCAATTTCAATACCAAGGAGAAGCAGATTCTTTTCTGAATATATTAAATTGTCTCCTCCGCTTGTTCATGTGATAATTTTATTAATTTGAGTGATTTCCCAATTTGAGACCTATGTTTTGCTTTTTCCCTTGCTAAGGATGTTGTTCCCTAGTTCCCAAATATTCATTTTCCGGAAATTGAATCAAATAGAAATACAGTTTTCAGACTTCTGGGCAAACACCGGAAAAGAAAATGACTTCAAGTAAAAAATCATTTTCCTCAAGTCACTTTCTAGAAGTTATTTTCCTACTTTCCAAACAGACCCTCAATGAAAATTTTCATTCAGAAAAGTAAAACTACTTCGTTGAGTAGTTTTTTGAATGAAAATAGGCTGGCCTTCTTGTTTACTAAGCTTTTTTTAACACCACTCACATTACTTTCACATTTTTGTCGGGGTCCTCTGGAGACCATTCTCCCTACTCATTGGGGTAGAGTGAGGTTTGTATACATATTCCAACCAAGACCCTTTTTCCAAGAGAGATTTACTGGGTTTGTTTAGTTTTTGTCTCGAAACTCCATGAAACATAAAATTCGGTATTATAACAAAGAAACTTTCATGGGGGCTATCCCGAATTATCACAAAACATCCAACATAAAAGTGCGCATATGAAAAAAAATAGAATTAAATATGGAGATGGTATTAAGAAATTTCATGAACATAAAATGCAGATAACTACGCAGTTCAGCCTCCCTAGAAACTAGCAAATTGATGCATACATAAAAAGCACCCTGCAGTTTTCAAATACATCAGTATTTTGTGACAAGAAAATACTCCATCTGTCCCAAAATAAAATTCAAACATTTTTCGTCCAACCCAGAAGAAACATTACACTTTCCTCATTTCCTTTTACGGAAAAGAATGGGTGGCTCAAACCATTTATCTTTCTTCTAAACAAATTCTAACTATAACTTTTCATTTTAACACTTTCTTAAACTTCGTGAAGTCAAATCAAAAAAGTTTATTTTGGGACAGAGAGAGTATTATTTTGGGTAGGCATGTAAAATTTTAAAAGCACATTAAGCTACAAAATGCCAAAAATACATTACTAGCATCCAAAATGTTAAAACTTGCAAGTAAAAGGTAATTAATATTTACCTGTATCCTGAGGGAGACCCCTTGAAGTTGGGATTTAAGCTTATAAAATTTTTCAACTTGATGCCTTGTTCTGATGAGATCCTTTGCCATCACTCTAACAGCTCCCTATTTTTTTAGAAATAACACTCAGATGGATTCTCAAGTACTTTTGCTCAACAAAAAGAATTGTTTCACTAGTATCTGTTCCATTATCTCATTAGCTCTCATATACACATATGTATGCACTTCAGTAAATGCAAAATGATAAACAGAGAATAATTGGGGAATATGAAGTCTATCTAGCTACCTATAGATGTGTGCACGTACACATTTACCTGCTCAAAAGGAATGTGCCAACCAACTCCTTAAATACGGAGTAGTCAAATAAGTTACTTGTATAAGGAAAATAAGTTCATATAACCCAAACTATCCTTGTTTCGCATGTCTTTTAAGTCTACACAGATTGCAGCTATACTAAATTACTATGTACTAATAATAACAATAAGCATAAGAGGGACTATGAAACAAACCATCTGGCCTTGCTTTGCACTTTTCTTTATCTCCGCAATCAATTTTTTCTCTTGCGCTTGTAGACCTTGTCTCTCCCTTTCTATTTCTCTGATTGACTTGTCAAGCATCCGCTTGTTCTCACGCAGAAGCTCTGAAACAACATTTTGTAGTTCCAATTAAACAATTCATTTCACAATATTCACCAAAAACTATAATATTTTTAAATCAAGAGTTCAAGACAACAAAATTGAACAATGCAATGCTGCAAACGTACACAGTGAGAACCTTTTTATCAGTTGAATGAGCAGACAAACATAAACAGAACTTTCAAAAATAATGAGATAGCAAATCATCTAACATTATCACTCTAACAGAGTGAGACGGAGCTAAATGTTCTCAGTTTCTAAAGATTAGAAAAGAGTTCGAAAAGTTAAAGAAACAGACAATATTATCAAACCTTAGGCAAATGGTATGACACTATTATACACCATTACTTTATTTTCTTGCCAAATCTCCAATACTAACTGTCTCAAATACTCGGATACTCCAAAATGAACAACATGTTGAATAAAAATGATGTGTAGCTGTACCCATATCCTAGAATTGATGTATCTTTGTCCGTATCCACGCAACATAGGTAGGTATTAGAAAAGCGAAATACGACTAAAGCACTATATCAGTAATATCGCATTAGATCAGTGAGCTTTTGTAGGGGTATTTTTTCACCTAAAACCAGCTCATTGTCAATCAAAGATAAACTTTTTTTCATTTTGCAGATTTAAAATTCAGTAAGACTGCAAATTGTCTCCCTAAATCCAACTTTTGGCTGCAAGATTATATCTCAGGACCTCATTTTATTCATAATAGCAAAGAATCTTTACCTTCAATTGAAACTTAAAGCAATAAACAATAAATTCCAGATTATCGTCTGACAAAAAAAACAAACTTCAAATACAAATTCCATACAATCAAAAAAAACAAGTTGAATCGGCATCAATCCTCCAGTTCGAATTACAGACAAGAAAAAAAAGATCAAATCACACAAAATTGAACAGAACACCCGAAAATATCACTGAAAATCAAACGCATCTATGCGTAAAGAGCGGACCTGCGGGAGACTTCCTCCTGCCGAAGAGGAAACTCATGGCGATTGTACGAACGATCGACTCTGCAAGCCAAAGAAGAAATGGTATTGGTGAAGGAGTCGTCTTCTTCCGATGATTTTCTCTATCTAAAAGTTAAAAAAGCAGAGGTCGTCTCCTACTTTTCTTTTGTTCTTTTCCTTTCCGGAGGCTTGCGTATTACGCGGCAAAGAGGGCCTCCTGTATTGAGATTCATTCGACCCATCGATTGCGTACATATAACAGGCCCAATCTAGCTTTTTTTTTAAGGAAGGTTTGTTTTTTTCTAGTTTGAAAATTTATTTAACATTCGGGGTATGGGTACACCACTTTGTACTCAAGTCTACCGAGTGGTGTACTTAGGACGGTTCATCGGTCTAAGACTAGATTGAATCGGACTGATCTGAACCAGATCAAAGACTGAATTGAATAAAATCACAGACCAATGACATGATCTGAATTTATTTGGGTTGGACTGGATCAGATAAAATCACAGACCAATATTTGAGGCTTTTTACTTTATATCGTTCAAATAAAAAAAAAATGCAACTCAAAAATAGATACACAATATGAACTACTTCTATGTAGAATCATAAAAACCAATACGAAACATTTTTCAATTTTTATTTTAAATTACCTAATACTTTTTTTAATTAAGTAAATTAAGATATCTATTAAAATAAAGCATTAAAGTATAATACAAAACTTAAAAAGTAGAGTTTTAGTATTTAGGCCTTTTAGGTCCATTCGATCTAATCGGCCCGGACCTAAATCATTTTGGGTTTGGACCAGACCGGACTGAAACCCGAACACTTAAATTTTCTGGACCAAAGACCGTCTCAAAATCCAATCAATTCGGGTTCGGTCTGGACCTAACGATCTGGTTCGGTCGGGACCTAAATTTGAACAGCCCTAGGTGTACCTCATATACCCCCCGTTTAGAGAGAGCAGACAAGAGGAATGGTTGAGGAACGAGAGTACCTCGCGGATATAAGCTTGTCTTATTGTTTTGGGTAATCACCAGAAGTATGACATAAATTACACTGATACATTTGCTCATAACGCCAAAATGGGTACGATACGCCACGACCGACTGACATGACCACAAACTACGGTGTCAAGATCGTCTGCTGAAGCAGAGTATCGAGCTATGGCAAATGCTTATGTAAGGAATCGATGGTTGCGAGATATTCTCGCTGATCTGGGCGTGCCAATTCTTTACCCTCCTCGGCTTTATTGTGACAACCCGTTTGCCTTAGATATTGTAGCCAATCCGGTGTTTCACGAACACATGAAACATATTGATGCTGATTGTCATACGGTTCGTGAATCTGTTTGGCGACACAATGTGTCCACTAGATAAGTTCCTACCCGGTATCAGCTTACGGAGATTTTTGCTAAAGCTTTACCGAAACTTATTTTTGATTTTATACTGTGCAAGTTGGGCATTCATGATCTTCACTCGCTAACTTGACGGGGAGTGTTAGCGGATATTTGTAAATAAGTTTAGCTTCATAGTATTTTGGACTTGACTTGGAGCCCGTTTATGTACTTGTATATATATCGACTTGTTATTAATGAAACACAGAATAGTTTACGCCAAGATTTCTACAACTACAATTTAGTTGTTACAAATTCTTATGAGGTTCTTGGGTCCATACTCATATTATAAACTTTAGTACATAAATTCCATAATGTAAGGCTACCATAATGTAAGGCTCGAGTTTTTTTTTTTTTTTGAAAAAAAGATCAACTTGTAAACCCATAAAGAATGTGAGATGGTTCATGTTTCACATGTAGATCTTAATACTACAAAAACACAATTCTTAGTTATTAAGTTTGAACTTGATATCTGAAATTTAAAAACTAGTATATTGGAGCTTGACTTTCGAATGCTGGATAACTACATACTCCCTAGTATGTTGACTTGGCATTGTAGAGTATTACAGCGAAAAAAATAAAATAAAATTAATCCGAACTTATAAAACGTTCGGATTTTACAACGAAATAAAGAAAAGAAAAACTTGGAGTCTTCGGATGCATCAACGGCAAATAGAGACGTCGGACGAAGAGAGGAAGACGAAAAGCTACGCCGGTAGGAGCGTCGTCGGAACAGTTTCTTGGAAGAAGGGTAAGGAAAGCAGAGTCGCCAGAGCTTTCCTTAAGGTAGTATTGCCCGCCTCCCGCACTGGCAAACGTGGGCAATCTCCTCCAAAGATAAAACCGCAACGTGCTAAGTCTAGAGCGGTAGAACAGAGCACCGGCGAACGAGAATGACGGAGAGCTATCGCCGAAGAAGATGATCGAAGTTGGGGAGTTGTCTGAACCTTTAAAACGCAGAGATATTTTCGAGTGTGTACTGGTGTGTTCATCTCTGCGGCCAACCCCTCCTTTTATAGGAGAGGAAGTTGGCCCTTCGCTGGACCGTCGGACATTACGAAGAGTCGAGTGACTCTTCGTCTTTATGCATGCATGCTTCAACCCTTGGACGACACTTCATTAATCACGAAGTGTCCACGAGTGTTCGATTCGGTCTCGTAAAAAGTTAGCCACGCCGCCACCGCAGACGGCGGCGGCGGCGCACGAGGAGTCCTTTTCTTGTTCCTTTCATAAGCTCAATTAAAGGCCTAAGCTTAAATATGGGAATATGAAAGGTTCAAAAACCGGTGTGGGACAAGAGTATTTACTCTACCCTCGTATACAACTTTGAGAATTAATTTCTCATTCACCCGAGCACCGTTTATGGCGTGTCATATGTCAAGACGTTCGTCTTACTTCCGAGATTAAACGTCCATAATTATTTCGAAAAATAATTTTGTGGACTCAACTGAATTAATGTCCAATTTACTTATAATTTCCAATAGGCATGCGCTTATTTAGACATGGGAAAAAATTATCAAACTTCCAAGAATGTCCCGACTTCAACGTTTTAGAGCTCCAATTAATATTCAAAAAGAAAATAAAAAGTAGGTGAGCGGTAAAGTGGAAGTGAATTATTGACATTTGCCTTCAAAAAGTCGACTAAAAAATGAAATGAGAAAAATATTTTTGGACGAACAAAAAAGAAAGCGAGAAGAATATTTCCGAATAGAAAGAGTATTCCGTAAAAATTTGAAAAGATCTAGAACATGGCCTTAGTTTCCCTCTCTTCTTAAAGTTTGCATCCCAAGTTTGGAGTAGGGGTGTAAATGAACCGAATCGAAGCGAATACCGATATATTTGAATTTGTATTTGTTTAATTTTTTTCAAATACGAATCCGAATCGGAATATGAGACGAATTCAAAATAAGATTTGAATAAGTATTTGATTAATATTCGAATAGTTATCGAATCATAAACGAATATTTGAATAATCATACTATGTAATTTATATGATGGACCAACATCAATTTATAATTTAACTTACGATACTCTTTATACTATACTATATTCCGTATATAAAAACATTAATACATTTGCATCTTACACAAATTATATTTTATAAAATATAACTATTAAAAATCATATGCTTTAGATTTCTGTGTTACGTTAATTTATTGAATTCTTAGTATTTTAAATATACTTTATACTATATTACTTTGTTTGACTTTTGATGTTGAAAACATGGTCTGTGTATATATACATATATTCGAATATTCGAATATCATCCGAATCGAATATATCCCTATTTGTATTTGTATTTGTATTTGATTAATATTCGAATCAAAAATAATATTTGAATTTGAATTTGTATTTGAATAACGCGAATTCGAATCATCATATTCGAATACAAATCGTGAATCGAATTTAAAATATTTGATTTATTTACATCCCTAGTTTGGAGTCACTTATAATACCCGATTCGTAAAATTAATGATCATTATCTCTAATCTTCCGGTAAAAATTCCCACTTTGGACTCGCTTAAACCCACCTCGACTCGATCAGAACCCACCCACACCTTGTCAATTGCATCCCAAAATTTATTTGACTTTGAGGTCAGTTTTATAGTTCAAAGTTAACTAAATTTGAAGATTTAATGGGGGTGGGGCTAGGAGTGAAAGGGATTTGGATAGTAAGACTCATCAACTTTACGAACCGACTGAATACTCAAGATGTATAATATATGTGAACTTTTTTTAGTATTTCTAACATTATTATAATATAGTGTCTAATTTAAATATACTTTCTCAATAAGCTAAATGATAAAGAGCCAACATCGCTTTCACTGAAGTTTGAAAATATGACTTTCCATTTGGAAAAACCATGATGATGTCGTTGTATCATAAGATATTTGGCCTGAATGTGAACTTAAATTTTACAGCACTTTTAAATTCACATTTATTCTTTACGTACTCAAAAACTTATATTTCTTGCACATACCAAACACAAATTACACTCTATACCCCTTCAAAGTTATTATCTGAGTGAACCCTAAGACGGATTTCATCTTTTTACAGTTTTGTCTACGCGGGTCTCATGTATGTGCATCAATACAAAAATGCACCCAGGGCACAACTCAAGTAGCTAATGTATTAGTGAACTTTGTTGGTGACTTACAGAGTTGAGGTTCAAATTATCGAGATAACTCTTTGGATTTGGTCTCTTATATAGTAAGATTAGTCGTGCCAAAATCCTCTTATCTCTAAGGAGTTGAGACACATCTTGTAATTTCCTCTCTTTTTTTTTTGGTCAATGGAAAAGTAAATAAATGTGGGAGTGAAAAGTGGTATAGAGCAGCCATAGTAAAAAAAACAAAACGGTCTGTGACATGATGCCTAAAACAAAAGGGCACCAACACAAAATATGATCCCAATTCCCAAATAAGGACACAATCTAAGGTTAACCAAATGTGTAAATTACATAAACACCCCATGGGAAATGGCTTTATTCATTTTCAAACTTGTGGTTCCATAAACCGGCAATTCGTCCCCATTTGCTTCCCCGCCGCCGCCGATATTCTCGAGCTCAAACAGATCCGAACTGCTACAGCTCATTCCGTCATCCTCGTCGTCGTTCCGGTACTTCTCTCCTTGTAAATCTCGAAAACTGTTGACGTTGTGGTCCCTGATTAATCGGCCGCCGCCGCCGCCGCCGTCGAGAATCACGTCGACGGGGCAAAACCTAACGCTTCTTTTCGATTTAGACGGCGCCGTCCCCTTGCTCAGGCAAGACGCCGGGTGGGTCGATGTCCTCATCGATCTCGATTTCCTCACCGAATTCCTCCGTTCCTCCTCCGCGGGCGGCGGTTCCCGGCGGTGTTTGGTCTTCGCGCCGAAGATTGAGTTCAGCAAGTTGCACAGCTTCCTGCCGGGAGAAATAGGCGTTTTGATCTTCTTCAAGTCGCCGTGAAAACTCACGGCGGCGCTCGACTTCTTCGGCTTGGCGGACCGGTCTCCGGCAGCGGAGTTGGCGGCCGTTGTCGTTGACTCAGCCGGGAAAGTGTTTCTGGCGGAATTTTCCTTCCATTTCTCGACCATGAGCGCTCGCCGGAGGCTGGTGCATTCCCGGCCGCGTGGGAATTGGGTTTCCATTTGGTCCCCGCGCCGGTTGGAGGGCGTGTTTGGATGGAGGGCGTGATGATGATTTTGGGACATTTTAAGGGGGAGAACATTTTTGTAGACCGTAGTGGTGGAAGTCAATGATTACCATGCTCTGAAAAAAAAGTTTACTCCCATTTCAAGGAAAAAGTAAAACTAGGGGTAGTAAATAGGGAGTAAATATGGTCCGACCGTCCAAGACAAAAATAAAAAGAGAGGTTATATATATATATATATATATATATATATATATTCCCTCCCTCACTAAATATTTACCACATTTTTAAAAATAAGATAAAATATTAGGTTTTTTAATTTTTTTATTTAAATATTGGTATAAAAAAATACTCCGTAATATTTACATATTTAAATCTAGGAAAGATTCATATCATTACTCTCAAAATTACATAATTTTACATAAATACTTCGAGATTTAATAAATGACATTCATGCTTCTAGAATTTTCATATGTTTACGTCAATAATCCAACATTAAAATATATTTACATCAGTGCCCCAACATTTGGAGCATAGATATATAAACATAAATGAATTCTTAGAGCAGCGATGTAAACATATGAAAATTTTGAAAGTATTGAGGTTATAAATTAAATCTCAAAGTATTTATATAAAATTGTGTAATTCTAGGAGTAATAGTCTGAATATTTCCTTAAATCTAAATATGAAAAGAATCTAATGTGCTGAAGTAGAAAAGAGAGATCATGCATGTACTTAAAAAGCATACAAGGGATGCATACCGGCCTCCACCTTTAGCTAGAGAGTATATAATAAACAAAAATAAACGAATTTTTTATACGAAATTTACCTAAACATTACTAAATTATACGGAGTAATGACTTTTTTAATGTAGTATCATATGTTTTTATTTCCTAATTTAGTAGCATTATTCAGTGTTTACCGGTTATTGTTCAAATAAGTATCCAGCGGAACATTGTTTACATTCAATGTCCACCATCATATCATTCTTTGAATGGTTGACTTTGGAAGGGAAATGTCTAATATACCCTTCATTTCTTACATGTTTTACTCTTTTACAGCCCCAACACCACCCTAGTCTCTGCCGAGGCTAGTAGCACCCACCGTCCCCCCAATCATCGCTGGCGAATGACCAGCCCCCACCACTCTCGCCTAACCCTTAACACCATCGCCCCTCAACCCTCAGCACCTTCCCACCATCGTCTATAGCCGCCACCATCTCTACCTCTAAGGGACAGAGAAAAAGGAACAGATCTACCGTAGATCTGCGGGAGAGGGAAGAGAAGAATTGGAAAAAGAGAAGAAGAAGAACCGTAGATCTGCGAGAGAGGGAAGAGAAAAATTGGAAAAAGAGAAGAACCGCATATCTGCAAGAGAGAGAAGAGAAGAATTGGAAAAAGAGAAGAAGAAGAAGAAGAAGAAGAAGAAGAAGAAGAAGAAGAAGAAGAAGAAGAAGAAGAAGAAGAAGAAGAAAGACGAACTAATCTGGAGAAAGAACAGGGGAGGAGAAGAAGAATAAGGGGAAAAGAAGAAGAAAAAGAGAAGAGGAAGGAGAGAAGGAGAAAAGGATAAGGTGTGAGTGGCGAGGAAATGAGGGAGGGGGGAGAAAGGGGAGAGGAGAGAGATAGAGTGAAAATGGTAAGTGAGGGTATTTTGGGTAGTTAGTGTATCAAAAATTGAAATGAGAAGATTATTTCCGGACGGAGAAAAGGGAGAAATGAGAAGATTATTTCTGGACGGAGGGAGTACATTTTTTCCGCAATTAGACACTATTCAAATAATATTTAGGAAATAAAAAAATTTAAATACCATGTCGGGAAATGAAATATGTTTTAATACTTTTTACGGTAAGTTTCACATTTTTTATCTTCAGAAATATACATACTCCTTTTGTGTTTACGCAAATGTGAAGTTATAAGACTTTGAATTGGCAGGAGAAAAGATAATCCAACCTTATTAACCTTTTGTTTTTTAATTTTCACAAACATGAATCTACAGTCCTAACATATCTACGAGTATTTACTGCTGGGTAATTCAAATATGTGCGAGAAGAAAAAAAAGAATTATGTAATTATAAAAGTGATTTGGTAAAAAAAGGAGAGGAGGTCTATTTCTCTCATGTTTTTTTCTCTTGAATTTTCAAAAGGAATTATTTGTGGGGAAAATCTCCTAGACAGGAATAAAAAAATATTAAAATAACAAAATATGAGTGAACTTGTTCATTGTTACAGTGTCACATTCACTGCATTTTCACACTGTAACTGTCACACTATCATCATCACACTGCCATCTGTCGCTGCTGACAATCAGAATGTCGACGCAGATCATCGACGGTTGACTGATTGCACTGACATATTATACTATCATCATTTTTACATAATACTGCCAACACACTCTTACACCAAATTGTCACTGTACTTCTATTTTAATTTTAAAAAATTTAAGACTCCTATTTTAATATTTTCATAAGTTTTATTTCTATTTAAGAAGTTTTTTTTTATTTGTGGTCATTTGGCAAAGCCGTACTTGGAGACTTACTTGGATACTTGGAGCTCTTTGGCACGTACGTACGTACACTTAATCGCTAATCGTTTGTATTGCATCATTAATTATTTACTTTTAAACACTTTTTGTTTTTTTTTACTTTTACTTTTACTATATGAAAGTTGAGTATTAAATAAGAGTTTGGGTGAAAGACTAATGACTTGAAAACGAAGCTTGATACTTTGATTAGCTAGAATATAACTTTCTGTTAAACTTCTAATAATGAAATGAGTATTTAATGTTCTTGAAAATGACTAAAGTGGTTTCAAAAGATAAAAGTTGCTACTGATGAAATGGCTAAATTAACTTATAATCCAATTTGCTTTTTGTTAAGTATTTTTTAAGGGTTATGCTTGATTGATCATAATATTTTAATCACACTCGTTAATCTTACTCTTACAAACATTACAGACACGGAACAGTTTTGATTGTCTGTAAGAATGAAATTAAAAAGTGTAGTTTAAATGTTGGTTAAAATAAAAATTTTCTTTTTTAAAATGTGATAATTAACATTTTTTCTAATTACAAGTGGAAATTAAGATATTTGCACTTGGGGTGTTAGTTTAATTTATTACATTCGATCATCCTCATTTTGGTTAAATTATTCACTCATGTTATGTAATATTGACAATCTTGCCCTTAAAATTAGGTTTTGTCAAATTTTATATTTTTACGAGATAAACTCCACCCGTTTTTATATTTTATGTTTCAGTTATAAGACTTCAATTTTTAATTTTCTAATTTTAATATCTACAAAAAACATGACATTTAATTATTACTTGTGGTTGAAGTTATGTTTGGTAGTTCACCAACTCAAAGTGGTACTCTTTTCTTTTACACGGTAGCGTTTGAGACTTTGAGTTGCAATCTTTTACATTTTCAAATTATTTCATATTCAGAGACACAAAGCAATTGGTAAATAAAAATTGTGTAGGGGTGAGCATGTATCGAATTGATATCAAAATTTCCCAAAAAATTGAGATTACCGAACTAAAAAAATACAGAATTGATAAAATACCAAAAAAGAATCGTACTGTACCGGACAGAAAGGTCGGTCCGGTATTTGGGTTCGGTACGAGGTAACTTCTCATACCAAAAAATCTTGAACCGACATATATACAAATACATTATAAAAATAACAATGTTTTTATATTTCATCATTAAAAAATAAAATGATTTTGAAAAGTTGGTTCAATTGTAGATAAATTACACATAATCTTTTATTTATATAATCATTTATTTCAGTTTTATTTTTTTGTAGATTTATATATAAAAAATTAAAAAATATTTGAAATATTATTTTGTTATCATTCGTTCTCTTTTGTTTGGAAAATGTGAAGTATAAATTAAACTAAGTTTTATAAGTATTTTTTGCTTTTAATTTTTATCTTTCTTTTATTTGAATGCACTTTTGATTTTATTTAAAATAAAGAATTTCATACATTCCAAAGTGTAAACTAGGTACGTTTATATATTCGTCCTAATATTTACCGAAACCCGAACCATACCAAAACCGATGTTTCAGGATCGAGATCAGTACGAAGTAAAATCTCATACCAAACTGAAATATTTGGTACGACATCGGTACGAAATAAATACTGTACCATGACGTACCACGCTCACCCCTACGTAAATATATTCTCTCATCCTTATTAGACTCACAATTAATATTTAGATAAAATAAATTGAACTGAAAAAATAATTAATTCACACTAATAAGTAATATCTAGATATACTCTCCGTCCTTAAAAGATTGTCGTAGTTTGATTGTTTTGTTAAACTGTGGCACCCTTTGATCGTAAATTATAGAAAAGATATATTTAGTTATAATGTAAATTTAAAAAATCTGGTTTATTTTAAAATATAATTTTGAAATATCAAATTTTTATATTTAATTATTTTAAACTATATTTAATTTTTTATCAAATACAGCTTAGTTAGAAAAATCAAATTCTGACAATATTTTAGACTTTGAGGAAAGTAAAATTTATTTCAAGGGGCAGTCCTAGACTACTATGCAATGCATCCAAGTCTATATATCTCCGTGCAATAATAGTGTGTTTGAGGAGTGGAGACATTTTATTTGACCCAAAAACACTCATTTGTACCATTTCATTATTATATTGTTGTGTGCCAATAATGTAATCATCACAAACTGACTTTGTGTTTGTTTATTATTAGTGGTATAGTTTGAAAAAAAAGTTCAAGGTCATTTGAACTCTTTTCACATTAGAAAGACCATTATAAATACATAGTCTAGATCTAGAGTGAGTGTTTCTTATAAATAGATTTTAATTTAAAAGTTGCTTATAAGTTAAAAAAATTTGTTTTGATTAAAATGTCTTTAATGATATATAAGTCATTTGAGGATATTCATAATGGGTAGGAAAAAGTTTTGTAAGTAATATGGTCAAAATGGAGAAACAAAATAAGTAGGTAAGACCTACTTATTTTTTTGGCTTATAAGCAACATATAAGTTAGCTTATAAGCACATAGAAATATGTCATCTGCTGACTTTTCAATTAAAAGCAGTTTTGAC